TGTTATTAAAACGCTTCTATTAACTATTTTATTCTTATGAATTCAGTTATCATTGCCACAGTTTTGATATGATTCACATATGCATCTTCTGTGAACACACTGTTTATCTCAGATACGAGCCTATGCACATGACGTCTCTCAGCACCGATGCTGGGCAGCGGCTCACGCCTGTAATCTCAGCACTTTGTGAGGCCAAGGTGGGCAGATCACTTGAGGTCAACCTGGCCAACATGGTGAAACCCCGTCTCTAGTAAATACACAAAAATTAGCCAGGCGTGGTAGCCTGTGCCTGTAATCCCAGCTACTTGGGAGGATGAGGCAAGTGAATTGATTGAACCCCAGAGGCGGAGGCTGCAGTGAGCTGAGATGGTGCCACTGGGCTCCAGTTTGATTGACAGAGAAAGACTGTCTAAAAACAAACAAACAAACCGATGCCCACCCTAATATTTAGTATCCCACCACAAACACGAAAGATATGTATGATAAAACAGTAACTTTAATGGAGTAAATCAAAAAATCATAGAAGTTTAAACCCTCTTGTTACTAGCATTGTTAAAAAGGGAGGGAGGGAGAGACAGACAGACATGAGGTCACACTAGGTTCCCCAGGCTGAGTGTAAGAGGCCAAGAGATCTCTCCCTCCCTTCCTTCCATGCTTTTTTCTTTCTTTCTTTTTGGTCAGTGGATATACTTCAAGGAAAAAGGATATTTTCGCTAATGGGACTGCTACAAATTTTTTTCCTCCAGAGCAGCTCAGTTCAGTGTCACCAGAGTTAGGGGCCTCCTCCATGGCAGTGGTTCCTTCATAGGGTTTAAGAATCTCTAGCCTATGTCGGGTTTAAACTAACCCCTCTGCTATGCCACTGGGGTGTCATGGACCCGTCTACACCCCAGGGTCAGGATACTTGTGATAAAGGCACCTGAAGCGGCAGCAGCAGAGGGCCTTGAGGTCCTGGTAAGCCCTCTGCTTTTGGCAGTGTGGACTCAGTGTGCCACCTAACAGCTGCCTTTCCTCCCTTTCTCTCAATCTCCCCTCTAAATGACCACTGTTTCAGGAGCTCCCCTTGTACACAATGTACAGTCCACCCTCCCGCCGCACCCTGCTCACCAGGCCAACCCAGTATCAGGCACGGCTTCACTCTAAACACACAGATAGATCCAGCATCAATTGAAGGAGGGTTCCAATAGCATATTCCTGCTCTTAAATGCCAAATAATTATTTTTTAAAAGACAGATTCAGTCAGCTGAATACAGAACTAATACTTATGGGGCTCAGCATAAAACACGGAGCAGCACACTAAGAGGACCAGCTCTCCAGCCAGCAGCAGCTCACCATGCATGTTGGCCCTCAAGCAGGACAGTGTGTTAGCAAGTCAGAGCAAAAGAAGATCCACAAAAATAAGCCGGGTGCGGTGGTACACACCTGTAATCCCAGCTACTTGGGAGGCTGAGGCAGGAGAACTGCTTAAACCTGGGAGGCGAAGTTTGCAGCGAAGTATGATCATACCACTGTACTCCAGCCTGGGTGACAGAGCAAAACTCTGTCTCAAAAAAAAAAAAAAAAAAAAAAGTTAATTAAAAAAAAAAGAGAAGAAGGAATCACAGGTTGCAATCAGTGTCTGGACAACACGCTCAGGGCACTAAATCATTGTGGTCACCTTCAGAGATGTAGTTCTGATGAAACAGAGGATGGTCTGGCACTCACAGAGGGTAGTAAAAGGCTTTCTGCAGCTGGGCATGCTGGCTCACGCCTGTAATCCCAGCACTTTGTGAGGCTGAGGCAGGCAGATCACCTGAGGTCAGGAGTTCGAGACCAGCCTGACCAATACAGTGAAACCCATCTCTACTAAAATACAAAAAGTAGCTGGGTGTGGTGGCCGGCGCCTGTAATCCCAGCTACTTGGGAGGCTGAGACAAGAGAATTGCTTGAACCTGGGAGGTGGAAGTTGCAGTGAGCTGAGATGGTGCCACTACACTCCAGCCTGGGTGACAGAACAAGACTCAGTCTAAAAAAAAAAAGTCCTATTGCTCACATTGTTGAGATCTTGGGGAGAGCAGGGCAGGCCCATCAGTCACAACTGAAGTGGCCTGAGAGAGCAAAGAAAGGAGCCTGGCCAGGGTGTGCACTGTGGTGGGAACAGTTAGGCACAAGGTCCCTGCACAGGCAAGTGGTTACGTGGTTTAAATCTCTTGCCTGTGACAGGCAAGGGAGCACTTAGACTCATCAGCTTGTCCAGATGTAGGTCACAAGGGAAAAAGGGAAGGATGGGGCTTACATTGTTAGCAATTATTAAATAGGGATTCTGGGCCAGGTGTAGAGGCTCATGCCTGTAATCCCAGCACTTAGGTTGGCCAAGGTGGGTAGATCATTTGAGGTCAGGAGTGCAAAACCAGCCTGGCCAACATGGTGAACCCCATCTTTACTAAAAATACAAAAATAACAGCTAAATAAAATGCATCATGGATTTGGATTTGGTCCTAATCCCTTAAACATATCAGGAGTTTCAAAGATTATATAAACTAGTTTTCCTCACATCAATTAAAACAGGAATTCAATTGTTTTCCTCTTACCAGTGGAATCAGGAGTTCACTTGTCTTAGGAACTGTAGACCTTTTTAAATTTCAAAGTTCTCTATGGATATTCACATATGAAAACCGATCTAAAAATGAAAAAAGAACCTGAAAACTTAAATATACCCACTCTTGTCTCTTTAGGTTCTCTGGCCTCAAGAAACATACATTTTTAGTCCCAGAATTTTCTTGCCTTACTCCCACCATATCTAACAACCTTCATTTTCAAAGTGAAAGAAACTAAAATCGGGAGCCGCGGTGGCTCAGGCCAGTTGTGCTGGCGCTTGAGGAGGCGAGGCTATGAGTTCAAGGCCAACCTGAGCAACATAAGAACCTCTCATTCATTAACAACAACAACAAAATAATAATAAAGTAAAATCTTACACACTGACACAGGGAATAAAATTATAAAATGATAAGGGAAACCAGAGTTGAAGGGCCACAACACTCAGCAGATAAAATAATCCAAAGGAAACAAACATTCTAATCGGCTCAGATAAGCAGGCTGCTTCCCCACAATTCACAAGGAAAACCCACATCCAAGAGGTTAAACACCTTAACATGTTGGAGGTCCGTACTCTCCCTTTGGCATGTAACTTCTACAGTGGAACAGTCCCTGGTGATGAAGGGGAGAGAGAGACACCTGAGTAGCCACAGGAATGCGCTCTGGGAGCTCCGCACACCCTGATTGGCCCCTGGCAGTGTGAAAACACTTCCTCTCCCAGGCTTCAATTCTCAGGGCAGAAGAAACTCTCAGCTGGATTCACTTTAAGGCTCTGACCCAAAAGTAACCTCCCAAATTCGTTAAGCCTGTGTCCTGGAGACAGCACTCCTGAACTTCACACACTTTATCAATATGTAGGAATTATATTCTAAATGCGGCAACATAACGAATGCAAAACTCAAACCTCATGTCTAAAAACATGCCCAAGAAAACCACAATTACAACCTCAGAAAGCAACCCCTCCACCCAACATGGGATCCCCAGCTTTCTGGGGCTCTGTAGCTTCTGTGTAAAGGGCTTAATGGGTATGAACAGGGAGGTTCCCCAAGAGGAACCAACAGGGCCTTTAATTAGTGCTCTTGGCAGGCTCAAGGTTGGGCAGTAATGTTTCTTTGGACCATCATGCTTATGGATTGCAAGAATCAATATTGTTAAAATGTCCATTTACCCTAGGAAGAGGTAGGCTGGGATAGGATCATGGATTTGACACCCGGCTTTCCATACATTTGGAAAGCTCAGGGGAAGATGAGTGACCTTCATGGAGAAAGGAGGGACTGAGGACCACACAGCCCTCTGCTCTTCCCAAGCACGAACCCCACACACGAGTCGGAATCCTCCCCATGACCCTCCTGTGGCTCCCTCACAATCTGGGGAGACTCGGGGCTGCAGACGCGGAGCTGCCTAGAGGGGGCGCCGGGCCCAGAGTCGGGGCCGCAGGCGTCGCGCGGGAACGGGACAGGACGCCGGGGTTCCGGATGCTGGCCCAGGCCCACTCTGCGGCCAGGGCACCGAGGGCCCAGCTGTGCCAAAGGGACCCGGGTCCCAGACCCCGGAGTCGCCGAGGGGAGCCCCGGGTCCCGCCACAACCGGTTCCAACCTGCCCCGCCTCAGGTCTCGGGACACAGGCCCCACACACTCACCATTTTCCGGCTTCCAGGTGTCTGGCCGTCCTCCCTCATCTCTTCTATGCAGCGTTGGTCCCAGCGCTGGTCACAGCGTACATAGCGGGAGCCATCGGTGTACGTGATAGTCGAGGCACCTGACAACCGCGGTGCTTAACGACGTACGACGCCCACCCCTTTTGTGACGCGTTGCCCCACCCACCTTCAGGTGGCACCTCTGATTGGACAGTTCATGAAGCCCCACCTCCTCTGTTACCCGGATTGACAGAGCTGCGAAAGGCCGCTGGGGTAACCGGGTTTCAGTCCAGGCAGAAACCAGAGTCAGCCAGGGACAGTTGCGTTGAAGCTCAACTTGTTCCCAGCCCTCTCGATGGACCCTGGCATCCTGTCGCAGCTGTTTCTGAACGCGGGGACACAAGTCTGCGCTGCGAATTCCAGCCTTAGTTACCAGATGTAGCGATCCTTTAGGGAGCAAGTCCACAGCAGGAGGGCCACCCAGACAAGTCCAGATTGGAACAAGAGGGTCTGACTCCCAGGGGCCAGGGACTTGGCCTGAGTCTTGAGGGCACTCGTGGAACTGTAAGCCCCGTTCACAAACCCAGACACTTAAAAGTGACGTCACCGCGTGTGATAAGAGTCTAGCTCCACTTTGATATTGACAGCTAACGGCATTGAGGCCGCCATCCATCCCTTCCCCAATCCCCACACCTTGGCCTCCAGAGCCTTTTACACACAATCTCTTTGAACCCCACATCCCTAGTATGGATGCAAGGATGCTTATCAAAATAACCACAAGCCAAGATGTGTTCAACTAAACTCTGAAGTGCACATTTCACACTACAGGGAAATTTATTTTAGATAGGTTACAGATTGTGTTCACACACATTTAAAGAGAACTTTAAAATGTAAACGACTTGATATACCTAAGGTAATTGAATTCTTATTTTCACTGATTCAAGAATAAACAATAAAAAAATGATGTAAGTTTAGGGTGTATCTGGAAACTCTTAGTATGCTTAACAGATCAGATCAAAAATTTGAAGTCGTGTATTTGAAAAGCTACATCAAAATAAAATACAAATACTACACAATGCACTCCTTTTAAGTGTACAATTCAGTACAGTATATTCAAAGATACAAACGCATAGTCATCACCACAGCCAATTATAGAACATTTTCTGTTTTGTTTTGTTTTTTCACATGGAGTCTCACTCTCGTCCAGGCTGGAGTGCAATGGCGCGATCTCGGCTAACCAAAACCTCTGCCTCCCACGTTCAAGTAATTCTCCTGCCTCTGCCTCCTGAGTAGCTGCGATTACAGGCATGCGCCACCAGGCCCGGCTAATTTTGTATTTTTAGTAGACACGGGGGTTTCTCCATGTTGGTCAGGCTGGTCTTGAATTCCCGACCTCGGGTGATTCGCCTGCCTCAGCCTCCTAAAGTGTGTAGTAACCGAGTGAGTTAGAAGGAATGAGCCACACACAAAGTTCCAAATTAAGAGTCCTTTTATTAGCCAGCAACCGAGAGACCGCCAATGTTCAAAGTTCTCTCGGCCCCGAGGAAGGGGCTTGATTATCTTTTATACCTTGATTTAGGTAGGGGAGGGGGTACCTAGCTGAAGCGGAATTTTACAGAAGCAGAAAAGCAGGTTAGAGGAAAGGGCTGTGAGCACAGGTGTTTTCCATATAATTACCAAGAAGGGGGGTGATCAGGCTCCTTCTACACAATGATCAAAGGGAAACTTTTTTTCTTACAATAGCAGGGGGGGTATGCCAAGTTTACAAGTGTTAAGAACAGTACGCAGTTCTCGCTTCGGCAGCACATATACGAAAATTAGAACAGCACGCTTCAATGCACCCAAAGGGGCTGTGGTAGCGGGGAGGAAGCTAGGTTGGAGTTTACAGCCAAGATGGAGTCAGTGATACTAGCCCAGAGTAGGTCATTACAAGTGCTGGGATTGCAGGTGTGAGCGACCCCGCCTGGCCTAATTTACACATTTTAAAAGAGTAGAGAAACACTCTCCATCAGATGAATGAGTCTTAACCGTTTTTTTTAAAATGATCTATTCCCGAGGTTGGGAGAATGGTTTAATGATATGGGGAAATGTGCTTAGATTTCTTCTTTCCTGTTTATTATTCTCATTCCAGTCATCTGTGTTTATCCCACCCACTTCCCCTACAGGGCACCACTGACCACCTGCAATGTGGGCCGTACTGAGCGGGTGGTAGGACACTACAACCCAGTTAACAGCTGCATTTACATGAGCCTAACCCTGACCTCCAGCCTGACCTCCACCATGCATTTCCCCCTCCCATTCTCCAGATGGGGGATCAGCCCTTCGTCCTGTGCCTTCCATCCTACAGTCCATTCTTCCATCTCCTCTGTGTACTACCTATAAATTGGGGCAGGTATGGGGGGCAGTCCCTCACCCAGACACTCTCACACACACGGTGGGAACATGTAGCCGGCTATGCTGAAGGAACAGTCCCAGGGCTGCAGCAGCCTGAAGGACAGCTCCATAGAGCTCAGGGTGAGTGAGGCAGACCCCTATCCAATTCCAGGTCTGCTACCAAGTCTTTACCTGGTTCCTCCTCAGGTCACCCCACCCAGCCTGATCCCAGTTTTCACTCAGATCCTCCCACCCCAGACATATCTTTGTCTTCAGTCACGTGGCCCCGGCTGGCCTGTGATCCCTTCACTGCTGTAGCGGGTTCCCACCCTGATCCCCTTACTGGACTTTAAGCCCAACTTCCATCCGACTTGTCCACCAGGTGCACCCCTAAGGATGAGAAGTGTGGACTAAGCACCTTGTACCAACTCCTCTTATCTGAAACCCTCTCTACTGAGGCGGTTCCTTTTCCCAGGTCATTATCTAGTTCTTCCCTCGGCCTCCTTGTCTTCTCCCCGTCCTGATCCTTTTCCTTTTTCTTTTTTTGAGACAGAGTCTCACTCTGTCGCTAGACTGGAGTGCAGTGGCCTGATCTCGGCTCACGGCAACCTCCACCTCCTGGGTTCAAGCGATTCTCCTACCTCAGCCTCCCGAGTACATGGGACTACAAGCGCATGCCACCATGCGCAGCTAATTTTTCTACTTTTTAGTAGAGATGGCATTTCACTATGTTGGCCAGGATGGTCTTGAACTCCCGACCTCAGGTAATCCGCCCGCCTCGATCTCCCAAGCTGCTGGAATCCCAGGTGTGAGCCACCGCGCCCGCCCTTAATGCATTTTCTTTCTCTGACTCCTATTCCCTTCTGGTTCCCTTGCCAACTTACACCCTCAGATGCCAGAGAATTCTTCCTGGTCTCTCCTAAGCCACTTGCCAATACCTCACCCACGGAGGTCCACCAGACCTTCACCTGTGTGACCACGTCCTCTCCCATACTCCCATCTCTTACTCAGCCTGTCTTCCACCAGCTGCATCAAGCATCAGGGTGGCGCCAGACTACTATATAGGTAAGTTTCAGACACTGTTGGCCTGGTAGAGCCTGGTCTGTGAGTGCTAAGACGCCCGCTCGGCCCCGCCCTTTCCGCCAAGGCCGGCCCTTCTCGGTTTGGCACTCATCCTGGCTCTCTCGCTTAGGCACCCGTCAGCCTACGAAACAGCTCTGTCCTCATCCCCTTACTGCCCCTGGGCTCAGCCTCGCCGCCTGACTGCCATCCCCTTTGCGGGTCAGTCCGCCCCTCAAGCTCCGAGCCCCGCCCAGGGCTGGCCTAAGCCCCGCCCAGTCCAGCTCAGCCCCGCCCTTTCCTGGCTCAGTCTTTCCTCCACGCTAGGCTCTTAGGTGCACTTACACCCCACAAGTGTCCTTGGGTCAGGCCACTTCCTTCATAGAACTCCTCGCCCCACTCTGCTCAGCCCTATCCTCCTCGCAATTCTCGGGGTTGCTCTAGGGGCTGCCGTCCTCGGTGCTCCTTCTCTCCTAGTCTGCCCAGACCAGGTTTCCTCTAGAGAGCTCGGGCAAAACCTGTGAATTCCATGACTTTTGAAATGTGCAGTTAAGGGCAGCGATGAGAAGACAGGAGACGGGGAGAGGGTAATTCGGCCTTGCCCCCACTCAGCCATACCCATCCATGCCCGCAGGACCTGTTCTCTGCTGTCACCACCCCCACCTCCACCTGGAGACCACACTGTGGCCAAGCAGCTCTGGACCAGCACCTGCAGGTTCCAGTATATGAAGAGCACGCCTAGGTCAGCGTGTGGGAGGAGGTTGAGGGAGGCGAGTCAGTTTCCATGGATACAATGAAGGGGCTTACATGTCAAGACACGGAGCTTTGGACATCAAAGCAGTTTGAGAATGTGGGATGGAATTCGAGCTCCAAAGAGGACCTTGTGCATCATGGGTAACTCACAGACATGGAAAAGGGTCTTGAAGATCTAGGGTGGTGTCCAGTTCCCTGGTGTGGGGACTGCAAGGTCCGAGGCTGGTGCCCTCGTCCCAGGGAATCATTTGTGGATTTGGGAACCGTGTCCAAGATTAGACGGTTGAATCTGATGGACCAGGGGCAGGATCCAGAAACCACTAAGGGATTATGAGACTCAATGTAGGACTGTCATCCAAGGACCCGGAAGCCATTCGGGGCTCAAGGTCTCTGTCCAGGCCTGAAGAAGACACCACTTGTAGGTCATATATAGGAAGTGATAAAAGCCAAATTCAAAAGGCTACATATTCTGATTCTGTTTATATGACTTTTCTGAAATATGTAATACAAAGCTAGGAACCAAAAAACAGATCAGTTGTGACCACGGAGAGGGCCAGGAGGTGAGGGAAGGAACACAAAGGGGTATTAGAACATTTCTTGAGGTGATGGTTTTATGGGTGTTAAACATGTCAAAACATACAATTTCATATTTTAAATACAAGCAGTTAATTGTCAATTGTATCTCAAGTAAAAAGGGAAGGAAAAGCAGGGAGGAAAGAAAGAACATTAGACAATCATGAGCAATATGAAAAACATACACACACTGTGACTGAGCAATGTCATTTTTGGATATCTTTCACAATGAAAGATAGTGTTAATAGGAGGCCGGGTGCAGAGGCTCTCATCTGTAATCCCAGCACTTCTGGAGGCCAAGGCCAGTGGATCACAAGGTCAGGAGTTCGACCAGCCTGGCCAATATGGTGAAACTCCATCTCTACTTAAAAAAAAAAAATTAGCTGGGTGTGGTGGTGGGCACCCATAGTCCCAGCTACTAGGGAGGCTGAGGCAGGAGAATCACTGGAACCCAGAGGTGGAGATTACAGTAAACCGAAATTGTGCTGCTGCACTCCAGCCTGGGTGACAGAGTAAGACTCCGTCTCATGCCTCTAATCCAAGCACTTTGGGAAGCTGAGGGAGGATCACTTGAGCCCACCAGAAGTTGAAGACCAGCCTGGGCAACATAAGGAGACCCTGACTCTACAAAAACTTTAATAAATTAGCCAAAGCTGGGCACAGTGGCTCACGCCTGTAATCCCAGCACTTTGGAATGCCAAGGTGGGTGGGTCACAAGGTCAAGAGATGACCATCCTGGCCCCCGTGATGAAACCCCATCTCTACTAAAAATACAAAAATTAGCTGGGTGTAGTGGTGTGCACCTGTAGTCCCAGCCACTTGGGAGGCTGAGGCAGGAGAATCACTTGAACTGGGAAGCAGAGGTAACCTAGATGTGAGCCAAGATGGTGCCACTGCACTCCAGTCTGGCGACAGAGCAAGACTCCTAAAAAAAAAAAAAAAATTAGCCACAGGTGGTGTGCATGCCACCAAGCCAGGCTTATTTTTGTATTTTTAGTAGAGACAGGGTTTTGCTATGTTGTCCAGGCTGGTCTCCAACTCCTGGCCTCAAGTGATCTGCCCGCATCAGCCTCCCAAAGTGCTGGGATCACAGGAGTGAGCCGCTACACCCAGCCTGTGGTAATATTTATTACTACAATTTATTACCCGTTTGACAACACGTACGTTCCTGGTAGTCCCTGGAAAGAAATCACTTGCAGCGTGATGTGACGCATGGTGTTATGCGTACGAAAAACTACTGTCATCATAAAAGTTGTAATCAAGCATGAAAATGAAAATCTGTATGAGGAAAAGAAGGCCTGAAGTTACAGGCTCACAGTAATATTGACTCACAATGTTGGACAAACAGCTAACTCATAAAGTTTATCTGATCCATGACTGCAATGGGATATTTTAATATATATTATCAGTAAACACAAAACTCATTGGATAGTATGCAAGTTGTTCGTACAGTTATTATTTCTAAGAAACAGGTAAAGAACTTTTGTTTGAGGAAGACAGGTGCATTGTAATCATATATAATCAAACATAATTCAAAATAAACTGAGGGACTGCATTCAGCTGTGAGTAACAGGAAACACCCACAATCTTTCTGTAATGAACACAGTGCTTATTTTCACATGAAAGGGCAGGGTGAGACCCATCTCTGCATAATGCAGCAGAGGAACAAGCTCCATGTAGGGTTTTGGTTTTGGTTTTTGGATAGTGCCACTGTCGCTCTCAACTTACATCCCTAACAGCCACTATCCCAATGGACAGAAATGTTTATGTACAGACTGGACCTTACAGGAACCAAGTCAGATCATCAGACTATTCCCAAAAATGACCATACAAACTCATTACTTGGCAGATATATTAGCGCTTTCAGGAATATCAAAATAGCAGCTGAATCTTTGATATGAAGCTTGTAAGAACATCTATGGAAATCTATAACTTTGAGAACATGGAGGTGAAGTAGCTGGTGGTGGTTTAGAGGATACTGTTTTTTTTTTTTTTTTTGAGACAGGGTCTTGGTCTGCACTCTGTCACCCAGGCTGGTGTGCAGTGACGCAATCTTAGCTCACTGCAACCTTCACCTACCCGGCTCAAGCGATTTTCCTGCCTCAGCTGGGACTACAGGCATGCGCAACCATGCCCAGCTAATTTTTATATTTTTAATAGAGACAGGGTTTCATCATATTGGTCAGGCTGGTCTCGGACTCCTGACCTCAGGTGATCAGCCTGCCTCAGCCTCCCAAAGTGCTGGAATTACAGGTGTTAGCCACTGCACATAGCTAAGGATGCTCTTGATTGGCAGGGCAAATAATCAGAAAGATTAATACGGGCTGTTTGGACAGGTCTAGAAGACCAAATCCAAACAGCCTGTATTAATCTTTCTCCCCATATGATGCCTCCAAAATCTGACTAATGTCTTCTTCACTTCTGCATTCTAACCTTCCAGAAATATAGGCCATTGATGCAGTCTACATGTAACCATAAAAGAAATACATTCTGGGCCAGGTACAGTGGCTTTATGCCTATAATCCCAGTGCTGTAAGAGGCTGAGGCTAGAGGGTCACTTGAGGCCAGGAGTTTGAGACCAGACTGGGCAACATAGCAAGATACCATCCTACAAAAAAAATTAAAAAACAAAAAACAAAAACATTAGCTGGGCTTGGTGGCACATACCTATAGTTCCAGCCATTTGGGAGGCAGAGGTCAGAAGACCACCTGAGCTTGGGAGTTTGAGGTTACAGTGAGCTACAATCATGCCACTGCACTCCAGCCTGGGTGACAGAGTGAGACCCTATTTCAGAAAGAAAGAAAAAAAAGGAAAGTGAGAAAGAAAAGAAGAAATAAACAAAGTCTGAAGGTTTAGTTCCCATTACCCAGACTGACATGACACAATCAATGAAAGGCATCTCTCATTCTAGATTTTATTATCCCATCATAGCTCTCTCCTTATCCCAAAATCAATTATACAAAGAGCAGCCAGAATAAATAACAAGGAGTAAAGAGCAACAGGTTAAAATAATAATTCACATGAGACTACAGTCTGTAATATACTTTACACTTAGAATTAATACCAACTCTTTAATAACAAGGAAAATTAAATACTTTGAGCTAAAAAGAAAAAAAAATGGGCCAGGTGTGGTGACTCACACCTGTAATCCCAGCACTTTAGGAGGCTGAGGTGGGTGGATCACTTGAGGTCAGGAGTTTGAGATCAGCCTGGCCAACATGGTGAAACCCATCTCTACTAAAAATATAAAAAATAGGCCAGGTGTGGTGGCACATGCCTGTAGCCTCAGCTACTTGGTAGGCCAAGGTGGGAGAATCACTTGAACCCACAAGACAGAGGTTGCAGTGAGCCGAGATCATGCCACTGTAGTCCAGCTTGGGCCACAGAGAATAGAGACCCTGTCTCAAAAAGAAAAAAAAAAAAAAAAAAGGAGTTGTTCTAATAAATATGATGGAATATATATAATGTGGGAAGGGAATAAGAACCTGCTAAATGAAGCAAGTAGGTTCATACCAACATTTATCAAGACTTATTTTTCAGTGGTCCTCAATCAGAACAATTAAGCAACCATACACAATTTAACATACCCAAATATGAGAAACACATTTAAATTCTTCATTGGATTAAACACACTTCAAAATGGAAAGACAAATATTTTATTTACTGACCTAAAACAATGCTACCTATGAAATTCATGCACTATTGTTTTAAAATTACTTACAGCATTATATCAATTTAACATTTCTTTGTGAGATTAAACATTTGAAACCAGAGTCCGGAGACTATTTTAAATATGAGCCACTAACTAACAAAATATACATATAACGTCTCCATTTCCATCAGGTTATATATTTTCTGGAGACTACATGACCTGCTATGCATGAGGCTTTTTGAAGTATTTACATTTATAGGATTTTGCTACATTAGAAGTTTTCAAATGACTTTTTTTTTTTGAGATGAGGTCTTGCTATGTTGTGCACACTGGTCTCAAATTCCTGACCTCAAGTGATCCTCCTGCCTCAGCCTCCCAAAGTGCTGGGATTACAGGTGTGAGCCACCACACCCAGCCAGAGTTTAAAAGTCTATTCAAATTCAATACCTCAACTAGTGAGGCCCTGCTGGGGAATGACACCCAGCATCTCCTGTTTGCCAGACAAGTACTTTAACCCACAAAGCCACAGAGCCCTCAAACGACTTTACAAGTGTATTATAAAGGAAAACCTTCCTTGTGTTTTTCACATTTATAGTGTTTCGAGCCAGGGTACATTCTTACATGTTGCTGAAAACATGTGGGCTGACTAAAAACGTCCAGACACTGCTTATATTCGAGCTTTCTCTTTTCTATGTGTTCTTTCCTGGCTTCAAGTGGAAGTGAAATAACTAAAGGCTCTCCCACACTCTTTACATGTACCAGGGTTCTCTCCACTATGCATTCATGTGTCACAGGATTGTGTGATTACAAAACCTTTCCCACACTCTTTACACAGGATTTCTCTCAAATATGGGTTCCTTTCAAAAAAGGATTTGTTTGGTTTTTCTCCATGATGAGTTCTTTCATGTATTTGAAAGGAACTAAAATGACTGAAGGCTTTCCCATGTTACTCACATTTATATGGCTTTTCTCCAGAATTATTTCTTTCATGTATTAAAAAAGGCACCAACAGAACTTCATGCTTTCCCACATCACTTACATTCACAGGGCTTCTCTTCAGTGTGAGTGCTTTAATGTATCTGACATTGAGTCCAGAACATTAAAGGCTTTCCCACATGGATTTATAAGGTGGTCCATCTTCAGCGTGTGTTAATATGTGTCTCTGAAAGCTTGCACGGCAAGAATAGGCTTTCCCACATTCCTTACAATGATAGGGTTTCTGTCCAGTGTGAGTCCTTTCATGCAGTCGAAAGGAACTAGAAGATCTAAAGGCTTTACCACATCGCTTACATTCAAAGGGTTTCTCACCAGTGTGAATCATTTCGTGTGTTCGAAAGGAGTTGAGATAACTGAAGGCCTTCCCACATTGCTTACACTCATAGGGTTTCTCTCCAGTATGAGTTCTTTCATGTATTCGAATTGATGTGGAAGAAACGAAAGCTTTACCACAATGTTTACATATATAAGGTTTCTCTCCAGTGTGAGTTCTTTCATGTATTCGAAATGGACTCAGAGAATGAAAGGGTTTCCCACATACCTTACATTTGTAAGCTCCTTCCCCAGTGTGCTTTATCATGTGTCTTCGCATACTTGGGATACAACTGAAGGCTTCCCCACATTCCTTACATTCATAAGGTTTTTCCCCAGTGTGAGTCCTTTCATGTATTTGAAAGGTACTGGCAGATCTAAAGGCTTTACCACATTGTTTACATACGAAGGGTTTCTCGCCAGTATGAATTCTTTCATGTAGTCGAAGGGAGGGGAGATAGCTGAAGGCCTTCCCACACTGCTTACATTCATAAGGTTTCTCTCCAGTATGGGTTCTTTCATGAATTCGTAAGGTTGGGGAACAGCTGAAGGCCTTACCACACTGCTTACATTTAAAGGGCTTCTCTCCAGTGTGAATTCTTTCATGTACTTGAAATGAACTCAGGGAATGAAAGGGTTTCCCACACACCTTACATTTATAAGGTCCATCTCCAGTGTGCTTTATCATGTGTCTTCGAACGCTTGTGATACAAGTGAAGGCTTTCCCACATTCCTTACACTCATAGGGTTTCTCTCCAGTGTGACTTCTTTCATGTGTTCGAAATCTACTGGGATAATCAAAAGCTTTCCCACACACCTTACATTTATATGGTGTATAGCCACTGTGTGTGATTATGTGTCTTCTAATTCTTTTGAGAGAAAAGAAGGTTTTTCCACATTCCTTACAATCATAGAGTTTCTCTCCAGTGTGAATTATCTCATGTGTTCGAAAGGCGTGGTGAGAATTCAAGGGTTTCCAACACTGGTTACGTATATCTGGCTTCTCTCCATATTCCTGATACTCCTTTGGTTCACGTCCACTATGATCTCTGATGTGTCTATTAAGAGATGAGTGACCCATGCTGACCTCTCCATATACGATGCTTTCACAGAGTTTCACTCTAGGAATGTTCTTGCTCAGATTATGATTCGCAAACTGGCTAAAGGTCCCCCCATGCTGACCACCGTCTCTACTTTGATAGAGCCTTTCTACCATATGACGTCTGTGAAAAATGAGAAGGAAAGTACTAAGGATTTGTTTGTTATTTGTTTTATATTAACAGCTATTAAACTTGCATTTTTAACATTAGCAGGGAAAGTGCAGACTCGATGCCAAGTTTGATTTGTTTGAGTATGAATGGATTCAATGCTCTGGGCTAGAGTGCAATGGCACAATCTCAGCTCACTACAACGTCCACCTCCCAGGTTCAAGCAATTCTCCTGCTACAGCCTCCCGAGTAGCTGGGATTATAGGCGCCCACCACCATGCCCGGCTAATTTTTTATATTTTTAGTAGAGACAGGGTTTCACTATGTTGGCCAGGCTTGTCTTGAACTCCTGACCTGATGATCCACCTGCCTCGGCCTCCCAAAGTGCTGGGATTACAGGTGTGAGCCACTGCGCCCGGCCATGTTTTTACAAAAACTAAACATCTGTTTACTCTGAAGAATATGTATTTGGGGAAAATATTCTAAAAAAAATAAATTTGAAGCTTGGCTTATCAGTTGTGTTTACCTGGTTTTAAAATTTCATGACATGCTAAGATACGTTCAAGTGAATTTGTTGTCTCTGAGGATAAATTACCTTAGATTTCTCCCTTGGTGTTTGTAGTGATCTTTAATTTTCTGGTCCTTCCATTTTTTCCCTAAAACAGAGACCCAGAAAAATTCTGAATCAGTACAAAATTATAGAAAAATTATTAGATTCTAGGTTCACGTTACCCTGTGACTATGCATATTTTAGCCCCCTACCTATTCTCCCTCCATGATGCAAACCACGGAACAGCTTCAGTGCACAAGAAACACTTCCTCTCTATTGACTAAGTGATGGAAGTATATCATCCTTACCTATAGAGGCCAGATTCCTCATGGTTTCCCACATCACATCTCTGTAGAGATTCTTCTGGGAAGGATCCAGCAAAGCCCACTCCTCCTGGGTGAAGTTCACATCTATATCCTCAAAGGCCACCAAGTCCTGAAAATCCCACATATGTGGAGAGGAGAGTGGGTGAGACTGACAGGGCTGGGGATCTATACTTAATTCATGAGACGCTCACATGCTTCGGGAGTCTCCAACGTTTACTCCACTGTTTGGTCACCATACTCCCTTCCACACAGCAATTCTCGTACTAGCACTGAAATAACGGGTAGAGCAATAGCAGTGTCTCATCATCTTTCTTGGTGGTGGTTCCAAGGAGTAATATGTGCTGCTTGAGTCACATCTAATGTCTGCCCATACAGTGGACCTGTAGAACCTGTCATAACAAAGTCCTACCACCTAGTGTGCAGAAGAGTTTATATCAGCATTCTTGAGAATGTTTACCCTTAAAAAAAGGCTCCTCACTCCTCACAATGTTCATGTGAGGTGGGAGACCAGCAGGACTTGTTTTCTGATTACAGCCCTACTGGCTAAAGCAGGATCTGGCAGAGGAAGGGTAAAGTGAATAAAGTGGTCAAAACCAGCAGATGTCAAGGACTGTGATCTACAGCAGCTCTCACTGCTCATTAGCATAAAACACTCCCACCAAGGCCAAGACCCTTTACAAATACCATAGCAATGAGCTGAAAGTTATCACCCCTTCTCTAGAAAGTTTAAAATAACCTGCTCCTTAATTCACATATAATTGAAAGTGGGTATAAATACAGTTGCCAAGAGCCCATATGTTGCTGACTCTGGGTGTACCGCCTATGAGTTAGCACAGATCCACAAAGACCAGCACTATTAAATAAAAGACTGCTGTTTAACACCACCGGCCTGCCCTTGACTTTTTCCCTGGGCAAAGCCAGAAACCATCCTGGGATAAGCCCCAATTTTAGGGCACACCTGTCCTGTATCACAGCCATTGCTACTATCTGGGAAAAGGATTTGGAGAAGGAGCCCAATGATCTATATAAGAGTAGCCTGGAGCCTAAACTGTTTATGGAAAAAAGATGAAAATTTCTGGTCTCCTGCCTTCCATCTGAGACTTTGGGATTTTGTCATAAGTGCAACGCATGGTACCTACCTGATGAGCCCCCCCAAAACACTCTAGGAAGTATTTTACATGTGTTTTCACAACTGGTTACTGGGAAAATTAAGCCCATCTTCTGTTATTACACTAAGAGAAAATACTCTCAAGTCGTACCTATCCTGCAGATCAAATATAATTAAGTACTAAAGGAGACTAATGAAGGATTTTTTACCATCTTAATGGCAATTTTTTTTAAGACAAGAGTTTCGCTCTTCTTGCCCAGACTAACGTGCAATGGCACAATCTTGGCTCACCACAACCTGTGCCTCCCAGGTTCAAGCAATTCTCCTGCCTTAGCCTCCCAAGAAGCTGGGATTATAGGCATGCGCCACCATGCCTGCTTGATTTTGTATTTTTAGTAGAGACAGTGTTTCTCCATGTTGGTCAAGTTGGTCTCGAACTCCTGACCTCAGGTGATCCCCCAGCCTCAGCCTCCCAAAGTGCTGGGATTACAGGTGTGAGCCACTGTGCTTGGCCTTTTTTTTTTTTTTTTTTTTTTAAGATGGAGTCTTGCTCTGTCACCCAGGCTAGAATGCAGTGGCACAGTTCAAGCAATTCTCCCGCCTCAACCTCTCGAGGAGCTGGAAGTACGCACGCGCCACCACGCCCGGCTCATTTCTGTATTTTTAGTAGAGACAGGGTTTCACCATGTTGGCTAGTCTGGTCTCAAACTCCTGACCTCAAGTGATCTGTCTGCCTCGGCCTCTCAAAGTGCTGGGATTAAACGGATTATAGGGATTATAGGTGTGAGCCACCCCACCCAGCCTGGTGAATCTTCACTAAATTGGTGAATAAATTAGTGAATTCACCAATTTATCTACCGTACTTTCTCTTCAAAATGTATTCAGTGGCCGGGTGACCTAGTTCACATCTGTAATTCCATCACCATCACATTGGGAGGTTGACATAGAAGGATTATTTGAGCCCAGGAGTTCGAGACCAGTTTTGGCAACACAGGGAGAACCTCCGTCTCTACAAAAAGTTTTAAAAATTAGCCAGCAGTGGTGGCACATGCCTGTAGTCCCAGCTACTCAGGAGGCTGAGGTGGGAGGACTGCTTGAGCCCAGGAGTATGAGAATGCAGCAAGCTATAATGGTGCCATTGCATTCCAACTTGGGCAAAAGAGGGAGACCCTCTCTCAAAATACATACACACATACATACATACACACACACATACATACATACATACATACATACATATATACATATTCAGTTATCTTAAGCCATAATGAAGAGTGATCCTCCCTATTTCTCTGCGATTCTTTTCTCTGTAGCCTTCTCCAGGCTGAATTCTAGGATTCTGTTTGAAATTAAAAAATAAAAAAGGCCAGGTGTGGTAGCTCACACCTATAATTCCAGCACTTTGGGAGGCCAAGGTGGGAGAATCGCTTGAGCTCAGGAGTTTGAGACCAGCCTGGGAAACATGATGAAACCCTATCTCTACAAAAAATTAGCCAGTCATGGTGGCCTGCACCTATGGTCCCAGCTACTCAGGAGGCTGAGATGGGAGGACTGCTTGATTCAGGGAGGTAGAGGTTGCAGTGAGCCGTGATTATGCCACTGAAGTCCAGCCTGGGTGACAGAGCCAGACCGTATCTCAACAACAACAACAAATAAAATCACAGAAAAGAACAAACCTGAGAAACTTACTGCATATATGCTCTGAGGGGAACAAAGTACATACAAATTTTTTTTTCTTGAGACGGAGCCTCGCTCTGTCACCAGGCTGGAGTGCAGTAGTGCGATCTGAGCTCACTGCAACCTCCACCTCCTGGATTCAAGCAATTCTCGTGCCTCAGCCTCCTGAGTAGCCACCACACCCAGCTAATTTTTGTATTTTTGTAGAGATGGGATTCACCATGTTGGCCAGGATGGTCTCCATCTCCTGACCTCATGATCCACCTGCCTTGGCCTCCCAAAGTGCTCAGATTACAGGTGTGAGCCACTGCACCCAGATGTAAATACAAATTTTTAACAAATATTAGGGTAGAAATTAATTTTTCTGAGATCCACATCTCATCTCTTTGGAAATATTTTAGCCTATCTTTCAAGCTGTAATGGTAAAATACATTTTACATGATGAAATAAGTCAACAAATCTTCCTAAGGTAACAAAACCAGGGAAGGGCCCTGCTGACCTGGAACACAGACAAATCTGACTTAACTGCCCAGTCAGGTCATCCTATCTCATGGGACATCTCCCCAACCCCACCTTGTCACTGAAGTGTTGCTCACTGACCTTTCCCAGACTGTGGACTGTGCCATCAGTCCATGCCTAAGTGCATTTTGCTTGTCCAGTTCTTGCATCACCTGGGTTTCCTTCATTTTGGGGGTCATTTTTCTACCTTCAAGTACTCTGGGAGAATCCAGAGGGCAAGAATCATTTTCTGTCTTTCCCCTCAATACCGCCATCCAATTAGATGACCACCAACATATCTCCAGAGAATGGAAACTGGGGCTTGGGAAAAACAAGCTGAGTGTCCCAAGGGGTGAGCTTTCCAGATGAAGGGTATACCATGTCACTACTTCCAGTCCAAAGGCATCCAGCGGCTCCCCTGAGGGGCTGCATGGGCTGATGCTCACTAGACCCTCCAAGAGACATGGAAGTTATGGGCTTCTTGGGGAAGCCCCAGTCAGTTTGGAACCCCAGGACCAGGAAGAGAGAGGGTAAGCTGAGGAAAATCAACCCTGCCAAGTTTCCAAAGAGGAACCTCAACACAAAGGCATTCTGATAAGAGTTCACACTTAGGGAAGATAAAGGAGGAGAGACACAAAGGTTTTTCACAATGGAGTTTAAGGTGGTTATTCTCTGCTTACCTCTCAGGTGAAAAGGTCACAAACATTTAAAAAAAAAAAACTTTATAAAAGAGTCATCCACTGCTTTGTGCAAAAATGATAAAATATGACATCTGTCTCTAATGTAGAACGAAGGACAAATAGTTGGCTGGGTGTGGTGGCTCACGCCTGTAATTCCAGCACTTTAGGAAGCCAAGGTAAGTGGATGACTTGAGGTGAAGAGTTCTAGACCAGCTTGGCCAACATGGTGAGACCCTGTATCTACTAAAAATACAAAAAAAGTTAGCCAGGTGTGGTAGAGGTGCCTGTAGTCCCAGCTACTCAGGAGGAAAATCACTTGAACTCAGGAGGCAGAGGTTGCAGTGAGCTGAGATTGCACCCAGCCTGGGTGAGAGTGAGATTTCATCTCAAAAAAAAAAGGTTAAATAATACTGTGCATTCGAGAACAGAGGTTGGTGCTTGGGACTGCAGAAACGATACCTACAGTTTAGGAGTTTGTTGCCAGGCCAAGGAAAGTCAGGCTGGTGGGGGGTAGGGGTGGATTTGATACCACGTTTCCAACACATTTGGGCAACTCAGATGATACAGACTCAGATACAGACGGCAGGGATGAGCCCCTGTGGCCACATCGGACCCTGGGCCCCTGCACACTTGCCATTTCCCACACTCGCCATTTCCCAGCTTCCGGGGTCTCCTGGGTCCTCCCTTTGGCTGCCATGGCCACCGCAGAGCACAGAGCCAGGGGTGTGGAGCCAGGAGACAGAAGAGAAAGGTAATGCAGCCTGCGCAAGAAAAGAAAATTCACCACAAGCTCCTACAGGGTGGGGTACGGTTGGGGATGGACAGAGCTCCAGAGAGCGCCCGATTGGACAATAAGTAGGATGCCGTCCTGGCATCACTAACTGGATATGACTTCAGGCTCCAACCCCCGTGGCTTGAGGAGCAGAACACATTAAGATGTTTCAACAGGGATCAGATACAGTTCTAGCACACACCATCAGCAGTGGTGCGCCTTCCTCCTGGTTCCAGACACCCATGTCCAAAGTCAAGATCACATATTACACGAACTAAAACTTTTAACCAATGCAAAAATGACAATAAGCCATACCTGTCTCTTTATGGGGAATCATTACTGTCAGCCCCGACAAGACAAGGCTGTCCATATTA